TACCAGTTCATAATATGCCACAACCCATTATTTGAGACACTTCAATCTCTATAAATAAACATCCAGATTTGTGTTTGAATACACCAAATCAATTAATATACTCTTGATTTCTAAATTTCTTCTCTATCCATATTCTGTAAAAATTCCTTTAATATATTCGTGGTTATTCCGTTCGAGTACGATCATTCTTTGATTTGACCGACAATGTTGATAGTATGCAATATTGACTTTCGAAGAAGCGTTGTATCATGAGAGAAAGAGAGAGAGACGTCCATAATCTCGTTTGTAATTTATTGGGGGACGAAATATGTCTTAAAGAGATTTGTTTTGGCATACCTCGCTTCATCTATTGCATTTCTTTTCTGTTCTTTTTATTTCTTCTTTTAATTGTGATAGTTAAATTTTCGACAACAAAATACATTTTTCTCTTTCATCTTTTCAATCACATTTTTTATTAAAATAATATTATACGCAAATAAAAAACTTTTCCTTTTTTTAACCAAATATTATTCATCAATTTACTATTTCAAAATGTATTCTTCAAAAATAATGGGGTTCAAACACCCTCTAAGAATATAAATTACCTCTCTACAATTGATTTTAGGGTTAAATCCACCAATGACCATCCAACTTTATATTTAGTGTCACCATGGTCACCCAATTTTATACTTAGTGTCACAATAGTCACCCAATTTGATTTTACTTCATCATTGGCATTCAATTTCATATAACAATTCACTATGAAAACCCAATTTCTTATAACATTTCAGGATGGTCACCCAACTTCTTTTCACTATTTTCAATAATTTTAAAAGGAGTAAAACGGTAACTTTACATTATATATATAAAATAAATTTAAAAAAAAAACAAAAGTTTTTTTTTTAATTTTAAAAACGTTTATTTTAAAATAAGTTTTTATTTTATTTTAAAAACCTTTTTTAAATAAGTTTTTATTTTATTTTATTTTATTTTTTAAACTAACATTTTTTAAAAATAAATTTATTTTATTTGATTTATTTTATTTTTTTAAATGAGATTTTATTTTAATTTTGTTTTTTAAAATTTATTTTATATATATAATGAAAAATTACTGTTTTACCCCCTTTAAAATTAATGAAAATGGTGAAAAGAAATTGAGTGAATATGGTGAAATATTATATGAAATTTGGTTGTCATAGTGAAACGTTACTTGAAATTGAATGACCATGATGAAACAAAATCAAATTGGGTGGTCATGGTATTACTAAGTGTAGAGTTGTGTGACCATTGATGGATTTAACTTATTGATTTTATCACAGTACTTATAAGTTTTTATGTGAGTATAAGGTTGTATTCCACTGAGGACTTCTTAAAATTTTTAGAAATATAAAAAATTAAGTGTATTCATTCTAGATTTTTTAACACTCTTTCAGAAGCATTGGTATATTTAGGAGATGTTTGAGCCCCTTCGTTAAAAAAATGCATTTTGTAATGGTGTTATGATGAAGAATGTATGGTTATAAAATGAAAGATGTACATTCTGTGTATATTTTCCATGACAATGCTCCTTATATGGCATAATCCAGGCAGTAATGTGAAAAGGTATTGGGGAAATCAAAAACTATGATAGTAACATGTGGAAGAATGTAAAAATTAATGTAAGGCAAGATGTACATATAACATGATTTTTAAAAAATAAAGAAAATTTTTGTGTTTACGTGTAATATTATTTTATTGAAAAATTTGTAGTTGAAATAATGTCAAATCACTGTTTAAGAATACATTTTAATGGAGAAAATGAAGTTCAAACAAGGACTCAATAGATATTTTTGTAGTCTTTTTAAAAAATTTCAATCGTAGCAAGTATTCAATAAAAACTTTTTAAAAGTATAGGTAAGTCACATGGTTTTTAAATTAATAATGACTTTTACGTAATTTTATAGCTTTCCATGGAAAGTATAAATAGCAAGTTTCAAAACAAATCTCTCCTATAACGTGAGATTTGTGAAAGCTCCATTGCCCAAAAAAGTACTACTCTTTTCATCTCCTCCTAGGGCTTTCTTGTTTCTCATTCATTCAAGTAAGAATTTGTAACAATCAATTTTTATAATCACTTTTGAATTGAAAATTATATGCTTAATTCAATTATGGTTTTATAACTACTAGTGTGTCACCCGTGCGATGCACGGATATTGTACTAAAAAAATAAATTTATAAAAGTTGAGATTAAATATTTCATTTGACTTAAAAAGGATTATTGAGGTTGTTATAAAAGTATATGAAATAAGTATCATATATGCGTTACAATTGTCATAAAAAAATTAAATCGATGTTCCAACTACTACAAATTTTGGAAAAGTTCCTTGAAAACACATTTGTCGTTGAATTGTCTTATCCGTCATCCTTATCGCAAATCAAAATCTTTAACCCTTTGTGATTTGTAACTCTAGACATAGCAACGTATAACTGACCATGGCTAAAAA